TTACTACCCAGAAGGTTGGGTTAAACATTTAACCCAACCGCTGGGTCAAAACAACCCAATTGCTAGGTTTGTCCCTATTTTACCCAGCACTGGGTTGTATTTAACCCAGCATTTTTTAGAGTGCACATATAGTTTCCGATAATAATAAAAAACAACTGATTTCATTTTTAGGGATTGATTGGGCCCCAGAGTCCAACCGTATAGTGACATGTGCCTCAGATAGGAATGCCTATGTATGGACCCTTAAGGATGGGGTTTGGAAGCCGACGTTGGTGCTGGTTCGCATTAATCGAGCTGCCACGTGTGTCAAGTGGTCACCTCTTGAGAACAAGTTTGCTCTTGGAAGTGGGGCTAAACTTATTTCAGTGTGCTACTTTGAAAAAGAGAATGACTGGTGAGACTTGCTTTTATAAGACCTTTCAACCTTTTTTTTTTTTTTTCCTTCACTGACTGAGAGAGATGTTACTATGTTTTTCTCATCCATAGCCACATCTCTTGTGCAATCTCTGATTGACTCTATAGGTGGCTGAGTAAGCATATCAAGAAACCCATTAACTCCACCGTTCTAAGTCTAGACTGGCATCCCAACAACATACTGCTGGCAGCTGGCTCAGCTGACCTGAACTGCAGGTTTGAATATTCAGACTACTTTCGCACTGTGCTGCTTTGCAAACCATTTTGTTGGTAACATAGGTCTTTTTATTGGTGTAGAATTTTTTCTGCATATATCAAGGACATCGAGGACAAGCCTGGACCAACACCCTGGGGATCCAAAATGCCCTTTGGAGAGGTGCTTTTGGAGTATAAAGAGTGCGGTGGCTGGGTGCACAGTGTCTGTTTCTCTCCGTCTGGGGATGCTCTGGCCTGGGTTAGCCACAACAGCGCCATCAGTGTAGCAGATGCCACACAGGGAAAAGAGTAATACCAACATTTACAAATAACAATTAGCCTTGTAGAGCTCAATTTCTTTATATACAGAAAGTAAATCAAACTACAATAATTTAAGACTAATTATCCTTGATTTCCATGCATCCATAAAAACCACTAGAGTTTGCTGCCTGAAATTAATAACATGCACAGTATGACATTTACCAGGCACTTTTAGACTGCCTACATATGAATTTTTGTGCATTGCAGGGTTACTCAGCTGACAACAGGACATCTTCCATTGCTGAGCGTGCTGTATGTCAGTGAGACTGAGGTTGTAGCTGCGGTAAGGAATTTTCCATCACTTACTGTTTCTTACTGAGGTATAAAATTCTTGGACTCCATGGTTTATCTGCCTAAAAAAAAAAAGTAAAATGGGTTAAGATGAAGCATTGTAGTGAGATACACTTTAAAATGTTTTCAGTGAGCTCAAACAAATGCAAAATATATACACTTGTTGCCTTGCTGCCCTATTAGCAGCATTA